TGGATTAATTCTCGTAACTCATAGATGATTACCAGTTGGAATCGTAGCGTATCCATACAACACAACGAATTCTAAGGCAAGCCGAGCTTGGAACTAGTGGAGGATATTCTCAACACTACCCATCCCTTAACCGAGATCCCGGGATACTTTACAAGACCTGTCAGTTGGGCTATGACTCGCTAAACCATACATGAAGAGAAATCGGTAAATTTGATCAGTAAACACTGAAAATTATTCTTATACGTATCTAAACCTCCATGACCATTCTCGTAACGCTCATGATTTGAACCGATATCAACCGAAACCACAGAGCCAACGTCGGTTCATACTACAGTGCTCTTGACTAATGTCCTGACCTAGACTGGGCAACTTCGTAAAAACCCCTCCAACCTAGGCTGTCCTGTTCAGATCTTCTGCATACATCTGCCATTTTCGTATATTATTACGTTACCTGCTATTTTCCTAGCAGCCAGTTGGTCTTGAATCTATTCTAGGACATTCGATTATAGCTCCCAGCAACTGTCGTAAGCGATTTGCCTCAACTCTTTCGCTAATTTCTATGGTAATCTCTATGGACCATAAGCTCAGCAGCCAACCTGTCTCGGAAGGAACCTTAATATGTTTCTTTTCGAGTTTATAAACACACCCGGTTTGCTGTGCGTTCCGTCCACAGTGATGACTCGATCTCTTCGCTTTCGGCATCAGTATCGGTTTCGATTCATGTTCCATAAACCTAGGTTTTTTGAGTTCAACTTTTCTATTTTCCCAATACATTAATCCGTTCCACTGCTCATTGGGTTAGTGAATTTGAGGACATCAATTATCTCATCTTGGTACACACCTTACTAGCGTTGAACCTGTGAACTTTCTATCCTTGCTCGCCACTATCCATTTCTTATCCGCTTCTAGAACGCTTTTGTACGGGATTTCTAATTTCTGATTTCAACTCCTACCACTTCGCCACGTGCTTCTGAATCATCTTATGCCCTGAACCCGTGGGTTGAGCTCATAGAAGTCACTCATGGGCCAACTGCGACTTCTATCACTTCGAATTCAACTCTGTCACTGAGCGATTTTGCATTACAGACAAGCACTATGTGCGCCTACACTGTACTAGGTGCTGTGGTTATGGTTGCATTGCTAACGACAGTACTTTTTCTACACTGGAATGGTACGGTCGAGTGGTTCCCGTCCCTGGCTCAAGCATTTCAACAATGAATGCCACGATGAAGATAGTGATGTATAAGGAATCGAAATGTTTGTGTATAACCCTCCAAGTTTACTTTTAGAAACTCCATCTTCCTTTGAAATTGTTATGTCATCAATTTATCGCAAAGAAAAAATCTGACATTATGAATGTGTTCGTTAATGTGTACATAGAAATTCACTGATAATACTGACCAAAAAGCAGCCTAATGAAAGCGAGACCCAAGCAAGTAGGACATAAATGAGGACAGTCATATAATCTTGGCATGGAAGGCAAGCAGTTTATGGCAATCGAATGAAATTGTTCCCGAAATTAATATAGTGACTATAGGCTTAGGAGGCTATTTAAGGACTATCTTGGTGATGAGCGCAAATGCCAAGCTCTCCCAAACAAAAAAAAATTGTTGGGGGTAGTTCAATATAAAAAATGGTCTGATAAGTTACCGTTGAATCCCCACGAAGTAACCTCCGTCAGGAGCATTACCGAATATTACCGCATATCATTACTATTAATAATGTTATACCATAGCTATTATTATTCGTACCATCACTATTTCCTTAAAGGTAATACTTAAACATCTAAGTAAAGACAGAACGACGCTCACAACTACTTGGGCAATTTTTAAAACGTCCCCGGTATGTAATAGAGGGCGTACTCGTATTTTCTGCTGAACTATGCACCGTCATCAAACCTTTCCTGTCGCTCGATGACCAACCAATAATAATGTGGGGCTCGCCGCGCCTGACAGACCCACCTCTACGATTATCGCGCAAAAAAGTAGCTACTGCTGTCAAACCTTAAGACCAAACATTCACTTCCCCATCTCCTCCATTCTGCTCGAAATTAATACAAAAAATTAAGAAATCAAAGCTGGAACGTACGCTCACCCAAAACACTAACCACTCCTTTCATAGACTGAAGGCAACGAATCAGATTTCAATACTGAATGGTACAATAGGAATAAGCAGGTCGTTTTAAAGACCACAAAACGAAAACGTAAGCCCCGAATATGTCCAAGTATCACAGAGAACAACCCATCACGCATACAAATAAAATATTAAAGAAAACAGAAAAGTACCCGTAGAATTTAGTTAAGCTCGAAATATCGATCGAAACTCCACTTCTGGCTGCTTTTCTTCTCATCGCACATGGCAAACGTGACATCGCCACCGGCTTCTACTCCTTCAACATCGAGGCACAGACCTCGCTCCTTGTGTCGAAGAAAACCGCCCTAAATCATATCACTGTGAAATTAAAAGCCAATACTTTTGAGGGAATTAGTGAAGTCTGGAGAACTAACACTGTTCTAAGGAATTTCAGGAATTTTTTTAACATGATGGCTCCAAGCGGACAAAACTGGTTTTTGCCAAACATGCAGGGTAGGAAAGAAAAATGTATGATTTCGAAATTTAGAACAGTATCTGACGGACATTGGGAGACTGAAAGTGATTTTTTCAGTATATTTCATCCGAAACCCGTGAGTCATTATGAGAGCAAATTGCCAACATAAATGTCACAAAGACATACGGAACTAATGAACGCTGACAGATTTTGGCTTCATAGATTTCTCTCAATGCTTAGGGAAATGAGCACAAATCCGCTTTTATAAATCACATGTAGAGAATACCTCAGTATGTTCAAACTCAGGACCGCCCGTATCCTCACAATTGAATAGTACCGCATTATACACTCTAGGGCGGAGCTGGTTACCAACATCCACACAGGTCGCTTCTCTTCGAAGTTCATGTTTTTTCGACAAAGAGAACATCTGGAATAGAGAAAGCGCTGGTCAAGTGTTACTACCAATCAAGCTTCTGTGTTCAAAAAGTGAAGTGCAGGAGCAACAGAAACATCACTGTAAACAGAAAATTGGGAAGAGCCGAGAAACAATCGGAAGTTCAAAATTTCAAGTTCAGATGAGAATTGTTAAAGATAGAATGCGCAAAGCCGATATGTGATCTCGCAAACAGACTACAAATTTAAAAAAGCATACAATAACTTACTTCTGCTGAACTACCGCCCTCTTGGCAACCAAAAACGCCAAGGATAACTGTCCCCTGAAATAAATGTGCTAAATAAATTTGACTTAATGCGAAGATAAGAGACTTTTCGACCGAACCTTATTCTCAAGTCGCTGAAGAGTGTCTAAGCAAAGTCCTCGTTCAGTTCTGACGTGTCCATATGCATAGACGTTCTCGTCCGGTACGAATTTCTCCGGAATCACATTATCTAAGTACCATTTGAAAGATTTGCACTTGAGCCGCTCTCGTAGCTGCTTTCTTTCTGTTAGATCACCAACGTCCAAGTCCTAAAACCATAAACACAACTGGAAAAAATGATAGGAGCATCAACATCGTTCGGTAATATTAAAACACTATCATTCGTGCTCCACCCCTCTCGGCTAAGCTAAGAAACTAAACTCTTTTAAAGAAATAAGAAACGAGATATACAACACTTCAGATCGCGTCTTCACTCACCTTAAGACCCATTCGGTGAACGTAGAAGAGCCGTTTGTAGTCGTCCATCCATACCTCTGCCAGCCGCTTGGAATTCGTACCATGCACATCTTTATTGTCGTTTCGGCCTGAGGTATTCATATCTCTTAGAGATCGCTCAAACACGAATAAGCAGTATATAAAACTTTTCTAAATCTAAGCTCAAGAAACGACTAATGCATCAGTAAATTCAGTAAACAAATGGACACAATAACAAAAGAGCAAAAATCTACTGGCAGAAAAAACTATACGGCTAATACTTCTGGATGGCAGTAATAAACAAATGTTTCATATGAACCTGTCATATCATAGGGATGTCCTGATCGGAAGATATGGCCAACATGGGAGCATGGGATTAGTTCAACCGAACCTCCGCACATCCAAACCTGAAAGAACGCTATCCGACCTTTTTGCGAAGCTTGTGTAATTATTCTGAAATTTCAATAGAATTAGCATACTCGGAAAGAGATCTCCAAATTTTCGCCTCCCCAAATATCCATTTCTTCATCATAAGCCCCAATTTCGAAAAAGTACTTGCGATCCACAGCAAACAGACCTCCAGCCATCGTTGGCGACCTGGCACGTAATATACAGAGAGACGTAAATTTGTACGGTTGTCTAGACGAGCTAATGGCTTACCGTATGTAGTCGGTTTCTGGATGCTTCCTTCGCTCAATTTCTCTCTTAGGCATCGATGATATACTGTAATGAAGGGACCACCAAAACGTACCAATTCCTGAATTCTATCCAGCGTAATTGTTCGAAAAGAACGACTTCGTAATAAAAAAAGACGCACCTCCATGGGATCCACCTAAATAGGCGAGGTTTGTATCGGAAATTGAATCGATGATGGGGCAGACAACAGCGGTGCGCTCCTCTTGAATTCGTGCCAGCAGTGGTTCGATCCTAAGTCAGAAATCAATTAGTTCTTCATGCCCAAATGTACAAATTCCTCTCGTGCTGCGAAAACGACCCCCTTGGACATGGAGACAGTACTGATAAAGGGTAGCCAGCCGACAGCCGTACTTGATCTGTAGCTACTAATAAAGAAATTGTCATAGATCACCGCTACCATGTATGGACGGGCACCTGTGATCCCTTCCTACACCCCTTCAGAGAATAAAAAAAAAACATACAACCATTATTCGACTTGGGACCATGACTGCCTTCGTTATGACATGAGTTGCCTAAACCTTCATAGAAAGCTGTTAATCGGTAAAGTCAGCTAAGCAGTTGTATAACGTGTTAGAGTCGAATTCGAAGCAGTTCGACAAACTAACATGGGAATTCAACAAAAATTGGACCCCCATGAAGGACTCTGCTTTTTCCATGATTTTTGGTTGTGTGAAATATCATGAACCTCTCTCTTTTGATTTATCCGATTTTTGCTTGAAATGGAGCGTGGATTTTGCTCTCAGCATTCTTTGGTCAACCGTAAAAAACGAAGTCTTAACTAAAGGGCTATTAGCCTCTACAGCTAAACTCTCACAGCTATCTTACAGATAAAACAGTCCTGCAATGAAAGATGTAGCTCACCAGCCAGCATTTGCTTCACAATGAGCGTCGAGAAATACGATCACGTCACCGGTTGCAGCTTTTGCTCCTTTAATCTTCGCTCTAATCAATCCAAGCCTTTCCGTAGATCGAATGAGAATCACGAGTGAACCAAATCTTTTCAAATGTTCGTCAAGAGGTGGGCCAAGCTCATCTGAAACGTCGCTTTGCATGAGGAGTGCAAGAACTCGAAATTCATCCACCAAATCACCAAGCTTTAACGCTCTGATTTTGTATAAAATTTCAAAAACATCTGACAATTAGCCTTTCATTCAGTGCCGCTGAGCTGCGTCGTTTCCAAAGCATTTTACTGAAGTCCCACAATAATTCCTTACTTCTACACACTACAGCTTGTTACGACGAATGACTAACGCACAAAAAACTAAGAACTGTAACCAATGTGGCGTGTATCTTAGTGGTAAATGAACCATATGGTATGACCAACTGGCTGCAATCACACTTTGCGTCAGCCCTTTGTCACGTCTGACCTTTGGACTGTCTGCTATCGGCGCGACGCACCGGTCTACGCGCGCGGAGATCAATAGCCCAAAATATTTGGCATGACGCCAGGATTAAAGGCACTTTCTGGTTTCGTTATCCCCTGGCCAACTTTTTCCGAGCAACAGTTCCTATACACAGATTGCTTGACAGTAGGTTAGTTAGGTTTTCTCTGCTTCATAGAACTTTATCTGGAAAAAACTCTATGTTTTCATCTTATTTCTTGCTTTGAGTGTTCACTGTGAACTCATTTCTTGGAATCAATTGGCTACACCGCAGGAAAACTGTGTAATTCTACACACCATATAGTAATGAATTGCATGTGAAAGACCAAAAAGGAAAACATACACGAGATATCGGAAGTGGAATGCTTGTAAAGGCATTTAATTTAGTACGACGAGCATAGCGGCTAGTTTCGTGATGTCAAACAGTCGCTGGATAGACATCGAAAGTTGACCAAAGGACGAGAGCCTTGGCAGTGTATCAAGGTGAAGTTCAATGGCAGTTATTGTGTGTACTATGTACTAGTTCAAAGAGGAGCTGTCTACTACAACACTTAGATAGTTTGCCATGCAAAGGCAACTCCAGCTGGATTAGCCGGAAGCGACATCGATTTGGGACCGACAGGTAAGCCTTCAACGACTGAAACCTGAGCCAGAAACGAAACAAACCTCTGTTGCTTTTGTCGTCTACAAGGATAATTTCCTTGAGCAAATGTGGTGGAGTTCGATTGACTACGGAATGAACGGTGCGGAGAAGCGCTGAATAGTAAACTGCCAAACACTAAAGACTAATAAATACTGTAAAGTTTCAGGTAATTCATTAGTGTTGAAAAATACAAAATAACATATAAAAAAGTAAAAGAACTATTTGAGCTATAAATTTGCACCACATCATATGAGACATCAGAAAGAAAACCACTTACAAGAAAAGAACTCGTTAGTGAAAATGATGACAACCGATGCTGTGGGAAGATGCCTCGGGTAGGAAAGAGCGAGACATTCGCGTGATCGTGAATCCGGTATACTTCGATCTAACGAAATTTTATCACTGAAAGTGCACTCAATGTAGTGAAAACATTATATTATTCGAAAAGAGGAATGCTGCAAACCTGGCCAACACATTCATGAAAACCGTCTTTATTTGCTGCTCGCCGATTAGTTTCTCTTCACCTTCTAAGATCACTGGAGCACCGTTCTCACCCGGTCCTATTCGGTTCTTCGAGTAATCAGGAACCTTCAAACAGTGCAGTCAGTGAAATGGGATTGCTAATTTTATTAGTTACCCCACTATAAGGCTTGCGAGTGCTTTCACAAAGGTATGCAAGTTCCAAGTTTACTAATTAAAATTTTTTATTTCTATGTAACTCTGTGGAAGCAATGTATAGGCGAGGCACTTGAATTAATCCAAAATTGAAACCTCTCGTCTCTCCAAGAAAAATGTTTGTCCCAATAGTTACTCTCTCAACCATTTATTTCAAAGATTCTATTTCCCGTGGCAAAATTGGCAACAGCCTTGCAGTCGATAATAGCAATATGTACCCATTCAAAAATCTCATAAGAAAGAGATTTCAAAAATATATTTCTTTCCTTAAATAAGGATTTCCATCGAAAGAAAACTGACTGTGCAATCTCTCTTCTGATATTACTACTGCGACTGCAACGAACTTTACCCCAAAATAATCAAGCGAGTTTAATAACTTTTTGCAATTTACTAGGATATAGGAATACAGAGATTATGTTCACATACCGTATGAGTTCTCTCGTATGCACGCTTTTCGAAGATTTTTGCACCTTCACGACTCCACGTGATGAATAAAAACACCGAAATAGCGAAGAGAATCCAATTCACCAAACGGGACCTCTGCCGTGCAGTCAGCGGTAATCGCATTCTTCAGCCACTAAATGAACTATCAGCTCACCACAACTAACAACAACGAACAGCTTGTAAGAAGCAAGCGTCAAAGCACCACAAGCTCATAAGGAATGAAGGTAACGTACCGTGCGCCACTTGAAGACGAAATCATTACATTGGTACAAAGAATTTATTCATAAAAATCACAAATATAAAACCACAAATGATCACATTCTACCTCTTCTTGTCTCCAAGATCATCTATCA